GTCTTATATATATATATATATATATATATATATATATATATATATTTGGTTACATTGACCTTTTTAGGTGTTTTTCTAAAAGTATTATTACTTTCTGTTTAAACGACACAGGTAAATTCTAAATGAGTGCATTCTCTTTAAAAGTAACCAGCTGAAAGTCAGTTTTTTATCAACGAATATGTAAGATTACATTAATCGTTTCCCAAGAATAGTACCTGGGATTTAACTTCCTTTAAGAAGATAAATTGAGTGACGTTAACAGAAACCTTAATGCTACCTGTCATATGGCTTGTGTGCTATATTAGTTCAAATTGTGGCAACACAATTTAATTCAGAAGTGAAAAGGGGGGAGTACATTTAATAATTTTGTCTTTATTACAGCGAATATATTCTATCTACACTACTGAAAATTCACTTTGTACCTTTCTACAGTAAACAAATTTATCTTTTCATATAGCTTTTACTTTTCAAAGTTAAACACCAGGGGGAAGTTGTTTTTTACTTATACAAAGTTTGAAAAACAACCACCAACTTTTAAGGTGACTTTGGAAGAGGGAAAGTGTTAATTGGGGATGCTATCTGTTTTTTGCGATTTTAAAAAGTTTTTGATTTGAAATCAATGCTTTTAAAATTTACTGTTCATCTACCCAAAGTCTGAAGTACATTCTCTTTTAATCTTTGCAGCAAATCTGCTTTCTTTGAGTCATGTTTACTCAGTGCAAGGTAAGCCTCTAACATTTTAAACTGAGTTCAGTATTGTAAAAACATACCAACTTCAGAAATTCAGTCACATCCAAAAGCTCAAACATAAAAGAATATATTAGAGATCTTATCATCTAAAGAAAAAGTCTTTAAAAATCGGATGTAAAACATCGTAGCATATTTATATAAGCCACCATACATTGTATTAGAACTTTGTTTTTTATAAGGTGGCTTCATGCCTTGTATGAATGTGATGAAGTTTTCTCTGTTAAAAGTGAGTTTTGAATTTTAATTTCAAGCAGCTAGGAGAGTCAGTTGTTGCAGGCAATACCATACATCCTCTTCTCATTTTGTTCTTTTAAAAAATAAGATATTGGAATTTGTTTCTGTTGTTAAACTTAAAAAAATGGAATTTCAAGCTCTGTGTTTCACAGATCCAGCATTTTGGTTTTAATAAGTCCACTGGAGAGGATGAGGCTAATCTGTTATCTTTGGAAAATTCTTACTTTAGTTTGTTAGATACTCTTCCACTGGACACACACGTTTTCTTTGAGATGTTGCTTTGCTACTGGTGTTAAAGAATGAGGTTTATTTCATCCTGGGGTGAAGGAAATTGGGGAAGTAAGAAACACCTCCCAAACCACTAGAACATTTAGCATCAGGAGTACTGCAACCTGACAGTTACGCATCTGTATTCTTAGTATCCTCAACCATGAAATAGAAAAGACTTCCTTTAGCTTTTATCCATCTGCCACCAAATAATGATTCATAAAAGCTTATTTTCAAATGCATTGTCCAGTCTCAATTTCAAATGACTGCAGTAGTGGGGCGTCAGTGACTTAATTTGGAAGGTTAAGGCCTACAATACTGTGGAATAATCTTCAGAAAATGTGCCTGATATCCTGTTTAGATACTCCTTTGCCCAGTTGCATTCCACTAATCCATACCCAAAAGCCCATGTTTACTGCCGAGGTACCAGTTATACCCCTGTGGGGCTGGGAAACACGGATGTTTTCCCTCATAAAGACCATTGGAACCCCCTGGGATGTTTTTGAACAACTCCTGTCCCTTTTTTGTATTTGCAGCATGGAAAATAATTGTAGATTATGATCCTCCTCTTACCCAGAGTTTGTTTTAAATCCAGCTTACATGTAGGTGTTTTACAGAGCTCTCTGCTCATGAATTAATCCATGTCATCATTTTTATGGCTGTTTGAAGTTTGTTCAGTTCCTGAATATTTTTCTATTTCCGAGACTCTCTCAATGGGGTGGGAAGCTCTAGGTGGGAGTCAGACCTTCCTGGACCATGGTATGATGGCTCTTAAGAAACAGCCAAAATTCCATAGAATTTTTTTCTTTTTCTTTTAGCCACGATACTGTTTGGCAAGCTCATAGCTAACCTGTTAGCCATCGTCCTTCCTCGTTTTGTTTGGCATTATTGGTTCCAATATTTCGTTCACACTAAACAGCTGATTTCTTTTGCCTGAATTTGTTTTCGTACTAGATGGATTTTTTCCCAACCTGCTCAGATATCTAAGCTCCTTTTGTATTCTTTCTCTGACCACTCTAATTTTTGTAACACCCCGTCAGTTTTGCCCAGCACTAGTGAGTGGATCTTTCTCAACAATGTTCCCAGGTGGCTTGGTTTGGTTTTTCCTTTCTTTTCTGTGTTGATGGATTTTTGAATTAACTACAAATAGGACTTTGCATTCTTGGCAACCAGTTTATTGCAGCGGATGACTTTCTTATATTTTCTTAAGTACCATAAAACTATTTTCTTTCCTGGTAATCTGTTTTTCCTTATCTTAACTTTATAGTAAGCTAGTTTATTTGCAACTAAAGAATCACTTAAATGCATTTGTTACAGGTGCTGTTGTACTTGAAATGTCTTGTTTTTCTGAAGCTGAAAGAATATATATGGTAGCTAAAGATACAACGGTCAATGACAAACAACTTACTGCTGCTGTGATTCCTGAAGTTCTGGTAAGATCTTTAGGTTACATCCTGTGTAAGAAAAAGTCAGACACTCTTTTGAGAGAGTGTGGAGTGAAAATTGTTTGGTATTTCAAGGGACGGGTGGGCAAAAATAGACTGAAATTGAGCTTTTGTAAACATTCGGATAAAGAATAGAGAAAGAGCCTGTATTGTATGTCCCTGATGTACATCTGTGTATGAATGGCTGCTTGTTCCGTTGATACTGATCATGAAGTGCTGAACGGTGATGTGAGTGTAGTTACAAAGCTATAAAGGAGCGAAAAGCAATTTTAATTTTTTCCCCTAAATTCTTTCCACTATCACTAAAATTTGATGGAATCCCTTTACTTTTAATAGCAGTTTGCTGTAGCATCTACATTGAAGTTACTTCAGTGTTTAAACTTGGTTCCTCGGTGGTTCTGGGATAGCCCCACCCACTCGTGGGTGATCTCCCCTTTGCTGAGTGGTTGAATTCCCTTGTTTGGGAGAGGGGTGGGAGTGCACATGCACATTTACCAACTTGTATCCTGTATACTGTATTGTTGGGCTGCCTCCCAGGAGGAGTCTTGTCACCCTCTCCCTCCTGAGGGAGGAACAGGAGGGCCAAGGAATCTTAGGATAAGCTGGGCTCTAGGACACTGCGTGGTGCGGGGGTCCCAGAGCCGAAGCCCAAACATCTACACCGCAATTAAACAGCCCATTAGCCGAAGCTCCATGAGCCTGGGTCTGCTGGCACTGGCCAGCCGCGGGGGTCTAATTGCATTGTAGACATACGCTTTGTTCCTTCTTCGAGTGACCTCTACATGTTCTTACTCATGGGATGGCTGACGGTGCAGCTTGGCCATGCTGTAAACGTGCAGAATTCATTCTGAGCTCTGGTTGCAGGTGAAATCACCTTCTTTTTTTATATCTAGAACTAATGACGTCAACAAATATTTCAACTATAATTTAATCTGTAGACGTTAGCTGACCTCTCTAGCATTCCAGTAAACAGCACAAAAAGTAGGTTAAGCTGAAGCTGCTATCTTTCTTCAAAGCCACTGAAATATGTCACCTTGCAGAGAGTCTGTTTCTTTGCTCTTCCCTTGCCAGGCATGAGAGGCTGGCAATGCAGAAGGCTAGATGCTTTCCCTGACAGGAAAGTGCATCGTGTGCTGTTTTGTGACAACTCTGACTGGTACTTAGGATGGGCTCTGGAGAGGTTTTTTAAAGGACCCTGCCTGAAAGAGAAATGGAAGAGAGTTAACTCAACGCTGTGCTTTTTAACCCAGGCAAAGTGAGAGTTCTGTGGTAAAGCTTATGACATACGTCATTTACTTGGTTACCGTTTAATATCCATAATTCAATAAACTTCAGTGAAATACTCTTAATGAAGTGCTGTGGTGAATTCTTCATCACTTGAAGACTTTAGAAGAGGATTGGTTGTCTTTCTAAAAGATATACTGTAGCTCAAGCAGAAGTTGTGGGCTAGGTGCAGGAATCATTTGGTGAAATTCCCTGGCCTGTGTTGTGAAGGAGGTCAGAATAGATGATCCTAAAGGTCCTTTCTGGTCTTAAAATCTGTGACTCTACGGAAGTGCTTTATTTGGTACTGATTGACCAATAACTTTTCTGCTCCAAATTGCAAGTCATCTCAGAAAATATCAATTGACTTGAAAAGGACAGCATGTCATCCTCTTTGTGCCGCCAAATAAATATTCCTAACAATGTTTTTAATTTGTAATAGTTTTCAGATTCTAACGAGCTATTGGGGTGAGGTGGGGGGAAAGCAGTACAGCGAGATTATTTTAGAACAGCATAGTTGATGTAGGACCTAGATTAAAAAAATGTGGTGTGATCATTTTCTGCAGAGCCATCAGAGGGCATACACATGATATAACATATCCTCTTTCCAGAGATGTGTTGACATCCTCAGCACCGCAGCTAAATAAAATGATGATGTTAGTTTCAAGCTTCTTTAGAATTACAGAAAAAAATCAATGTTTGCCAAATTATACAAAATTAATAGGAAAAAATGTGTTTCTATGAGGGTAATGCAAACAATGGCTTAAAATAAAAGAATCTTTGTTTAAAGTTGCTTTTGAAATAATGTAGATAATGTGACAGCAGTTATGAAACAGAGCATAAGTCACAAATGACTTTGTGTAAGTCTATAAAGAGTATTGTGTAGTTATTAAAAAGGAACAGTGCTTTAACCACCTACAAATCTGAAGTCCTCCACTTCTATAGAAGAGAAGTTATTAGAATGAGTCGTCTCAAAAATGTGTGCCTTCAAAAAGCTCTATGAAGGGAAACTTTGTGTAGGCATGAAACTAATGACAATCTGAAAGGGCATTTGTTTGAAACTTTCCAAATCCTCCTCCCCTCCCCCCCCCCCCCAAAATCTTTGCAAGCGCCATCCAATACTCCTTACATGAGCAATATGCCCCATGAAATTACTGGGTATTTTTCTAGAGAAAAATCAATTTGCTTGTGTTCTAAATCTACATTGGTCTCAAAAGGGATAAAAACAAAGTTGGTCATTTTTTTGGTTATTGGCCTTCACAGGTTAAATAGGTAAGTGCTGGGCAGTTTATATGGGCAGGAGGGATAGCTCTGTGGTTTGAGCAGTGGCCTGCTAAGCCCAGGGTTGTGAGTTCAATCCTTGAGGGGGCCATTTAGGGATTGGGGGCAAAAATCTGTCTGGGGATTGGTCCTGCTTTGAGCAGGGGGTTGGATTAGATGACCTCCTGAGGTCCCTCTATGATTCTATGACTGTACTCTGAAACGTTTACCTGGCTAGGCTAGCTGTGTCTCAGGGTTCCTGACATTATATAGAATAGCGCTGAGCCCTCTGAAGTCAGGAATATAGATCCTGATGCTTATCCTAAAATGCAAGTTATATCTAGAAACCCTGGGCTCATTGGCACTATCAGGCTGCACTTCTGATAGGTAGGAAGATTTACAATAAATTCTGAAATGATAGAAAATGGATTGCTTCTGCTCAGTAATCTCTAAAATGAAACTTACTTTAGTAGTTAACATTGAGAGTTTCAAACCATCTAACGTGGAAAGTAGCTTACGTTGCTCATTGTTTACCTAGAGTAAACTATCAAGAACTTCAAGTAAGATTTTGTTCTTTTTTTATAATTGTATGTGATCTTTTAGCCCTGCACACAGCTGTGGGAAATACTTAGTACTGTACCAAACAATATTGTATTTGTTTTTCCTCTGTCACTGTTGCGGGAGTGGGAAGAATTGATTGACTAAAATGAGAATGGAGCAAAATTTAGTCCCAGAAAGGGAATGCGTGGTTCGAAACGAGAAACTGTCACATTTTCAATTTTGACCTAAAAGTCGTGAGCCGTTTTTGTAAAGTTGTAACTTAATAATAAAAAAAGCTGCAGCGTCTCTAATCTTGAAGGCTAGTTCTCATTTGGCACAAAAGTAAACAGTAAAACTTGGTGTTTCCTCTCAGATTTATTCTTTGCATATTATAAAAGCAAAACTATTCATTTACGCCATTTGAGATGCCTTTTAAAAATAAGGCCCTGTCTAAACTCACGGCTCTTGTGAGCTTTTCATGAAAGTTTGTCTGAGATATATTTTTCCCTGGTTTATCTTGATTAAAAATAAAGTTTAAATACAACATTCATTAGAATGGTTCTCATTGCTTCTCACACAGACAGACCGGTAGGATTGGCCTACCTTTGTATGTTGTGTCCTTGCCACCTCACTAGATTTGACTTAGGGATTTTGTTAAATAAAGTTTATTTCAGAATATTTAAGTAAAATAAAATATTTTGTTCTTGAATTAACGTGTGAACAACAGTACAGCATGTTGCAGAACAACATTTTCTTGTACTGCATACAATGCCCGCCTAGAATCATAGGGTTAGAATGGACCGCAAGGGTCATCCAATCCAACCCCCTGCCAAGATGGAGGATTTGTTGTGTCTAAACCAGTGGTCCCCAAACTTTTTACGTCACCCCACCCCTTATCCCTGTCCATGCCTCTCCCCTCGCCCCATGGCTGGGAGTGGGGCCAAGGCTCTGGAAGGGAGAGGCGATGCGGACAAGGGTAAGGGGGCTGAGGCTGGGGTCATAGCTGGAGGAGGGGGCGGGAGCAGAGCTTCTACCAGGGGCTGAAGTCAGCAGCCGGTGCCCCAGGCCAGCAGCCGGCTCTTGGGCAGGGCCAGGACTCTGGGCGCAGGGCCAGGAGCAGAGTTGGGTGGCGCTCCCTCCCCGCCCCTGTGGGGACTGGCCTATGCTTCAGCTGCACCCCCCGAACATTCCTGCCTGCTCCCCATAGATTGGGGACCTCTGGTCTAAACCATCCAGGACAGATAGCTATTAAGTCATCTCTTGAAAACCTGCAGTAAAGGAACTTCCACAACCTCCCTAGGCAGTTTGTTCCACACTCCTACTGTTCTTACAGTTCAGAAGTTTTTCCTGAGATTTCATCTAAATCTGCTGTGCTGTAGTTTGAACCCATTGCCTCTTGTCCTGCCCTCTGTGGCAAGAGTGAACAATTTTTCACCATCTTTTTTATAGCAGCCTTTCAAATGTTTAGCAATGGAGCGCTTGTATCCCATTACATCTAGTGTTCTCTTCTGAGTGAAGAGTAGAGATGGCAGATAGATGAGAGAATTGCTGGTCAGCAACCAGGCAAACGGATGTTTGATTAGCAGTTTATTTTGGTCTACATACTGGGAAAGTTTATCCATTTCTATGTCTGTAGTTAATCTCTCCAATAACTACTGAGCAACTGAGAAGACATCAGAAATACATCTCAAGACCAGGTTTTTACAGGGCACTTGGGGCAGTACCATCTTATGTTCGTACAGTGCTTGGGCCCCACTCCTGATGGGGCTCAGTAGGTATTACTGAAGTATACATCTTAATAATAAGGATAATGAACAAATATCAAATTCAGTTGCTGTCGCTTTAAATGGGATTATTTTCCCTTGTGCCATGGATACCTGAACCCTGACTTGCTGGACCTGCATGCAAACTAAAATCTTAAACTA